CTTTGGTGGAGTTCTCTAAGTTTATCAGTTACGGTTTTAATTAACTGAGCTGTATGATCCTGTAAGAGTTTCTTGTAGCAATATAGTCATCTTTGTTAAGAATAACAATAGCCCCACCCTTGTCTGCTGGCTTTATTATGTTATTGGTGTTCGATTTAAGATTGTTTAGAGCAGTTTTTGCATTTTGGTTAATATTATTATGACATTGCTTGGAAGATTTTAAGGTCTGTATTATGTCATTTTCTAGTGCTTTAATATAACTCTCTAAATGTGGAGGTTTGGTGGAGGTGTCCACAAAGACTTTTCTTTGAAGTTCGGTGTATGTTGATTTTCAGTAGGGTGGAGTTTGTTATGAAAAAATCGCGAAGTCTTAGGTCAGAAAGAAGTTCGGGTTCATTAACAAAGTTATTGTTTGGGCAGAAGTTGAGACCTTTATTATGGAGACTGAGTTCTACTTCAGAGAGAGTTATATCTGAAAAATTAACAATGTTACAGATATGTGGGGAGTGTTCATCGTTACCTGTGCGATTTATGAGGTCACTAATATTATTAACAGGTTTGTTAGTTTGAGAAGGCTTATGTGTATTAGAGGGTGAAGTGTTTTTAAACATTTCTTTTAAGATGTTCATTGTGAGGTAAAGGATTTCTGATTGTTTCTGTTAAAGTGCATGACATTATGGTAGTTTTTTTACGATAAAGAGGAGGATTGGAAAGAATGCTGTAAGAAGCACTTTTAGAATTGGTGTTATTGTTAAGAGACTGGTTTTTGTTAATCTTTTTTAAGTAAGAATGTATCAGTTCTCTTTGTAACTCTTTATAATTCTTTTTATTCCAGCGAGTGGTTGTAAAGGTGATAATAGTGGGAAATTTCTTTATCTAGATTATTGACAGAAGGTTTTGGTAATATTCATGAGTTTTAATGAGGTGTTTTCAAAGATCTGTTGCCACTTGTTGCAGAAGTTCTGATCATGTGCTCCTATTGTGATTGGTGCTTTTAATGTGAGATATGGGGTATATTTCGAATTTTTATGTTATAGATTAGCGAGTTAGCATGTTTATAATGTCTTGTGCGTTTCTCAGTGAGTTTCCTAAGTTTCTAAAATAGTTGTTTTCTGCTGTAATTGAGTGATTCGCAGATTGGCTTAGGTCGAGTGTTGACAGATACTGATGTGAGGATGTCGTTGTAATCGTGAGATAAAGGAAAGGGAACGAAAGATGAGTAGCTGTCTTCTTCAGAGTGTATGTGACTTTATATTATTTATTCGTTATGAAGAAAGATAACATGAAAGGTTCTTCTACAGAAAAAAATGAGATGGGAAAAGGTTCCAGCATAATACTGTGACCAATAGTGTCCAGAAAAGTGCACCATAAAAATAATCAGCACCTGCACCATATTCCTGTATTAAGTTGAACTACTACATCACAGTAGGATATCTAGTGCCAAGATGAGTACATCATAAACATTACTTACGTTATTAATATCCGCATCTTTTAATAAGGCTTAACCAAAAGTGTTTACTTTGGTCTAACATTGGATGATTAATGATAATCGTTCATTGAACAAATTAAAATATATTTTTAAATCTAACTATCACATCGTAAGACCATGAAATGATAAAGTAAATGGCTCTACATAGAGATTATCAATAGTTTCAGACATAAGTGTTTTAAGGCTAAGCGTTAAAGATTTTCTAAATGAAAATAGAAATATTTCATGGAAGATTACAGTTAAAAAGTAGCTCCCCAGTAGCACAGCGGTATGTCTGCGGCCTTACAACGCTAGAAACAGGGTTTCGATACCCGTGGTGGGCAGAGCACAGATAGCCCATTATGTAGCGTTGGGCTTAACTTCAACAACCAAACAAAAGAAACACTTCATATATTAATTCCTCCTTCAGTTCACGATCGTGTAGCTTTGTGTTTAACTTCAAACAAACAACTTAAAAAGTAGCTAGAATATTTTAACTGTTGAAATTCAGATTATTTAATAAGAAAAACTTCGAGAAAATATCAAAAGATGTTCGTAAAAATTGTTGTTACGTTACCAAACTATGAAAGTTGAATAGTGATACCTAAATAAACTTTTCAAGTTTACAGGCTTACAACGCTAAAATCCGGTTTTGATCCCCCGTAGTGGACAGGGCACAGGTAGCCTAATGTATAGCTTTACGCTAAAACAAACAAACATATATATTAAAAATGGTCTTTAATATAATATTTATGTCCGCTCATGTGTTACAATTTGAGACCACTTTATATGTTGATCTAATCAATTTTCATCAATCTTTTTATATGGCTTGAAATAATCTAAATAATATCACTTAATTAAGTAAACCCAGTCGTACTAAGTTCTTAGGATATGTTAACATTAAGGCACATTTTACCCTTAATACCTTTATTTTGATAAGATAGTTCACGTTTTCTTAAAAGTAATTTTTGTTTAAAGACATATATTATCTTAAATTTGACGTCATCGTTTTCTATATATTACTTCTGGTCTTATCTTTCATCAGGGGTTGATATGTTTCAGAAACTAATCACATGTGTATACAAATATATATATATATATATTTGTTAAAGTGGAAAGATTAGCTTCACCCTGGCGCACGCAACAGATACTCAATGCTTCGTTAACACTGATAATTGCAAACTGGAACTGTTTTACATTCAGGCCTTAAGATAATAATTCATGAGCATAATATTTTTCCATAGTTAAAATCGAGGTAAAGTATGAGAAATTAAATTTTGATATTTTCAGTCAAAATAATGGATGTGATATTTACAGATGGCTTTATATAAACCATTTGTGTATGTTAAAATATTTGTAGATGCAATAATGAGCCTTTCTAATAGAAATAAAAATGCAGTAAGATTGTTAAAAAGGAAACAACACTTCTAGTAAAAAAGTCATTAAAACTAAAAACACCACACAGTAGAGCGTTTAAAACAGCAACGAGCACCGAAACCACACCCCAACCCATTTCAGAGTAACGCCCTCATCTATAAAGTAAAGACATAGTTACGAAAAAGAACCACTCGGCCCCGAAATCTATTACAATGGAGTGGGCATATTTCCCATAACCGTTATTAAGATAAGAAACAAGTATTTGAAGTGGGCTGACACTCGCAAGCTTCAAGCCACACCTCAAAGTCAATGGCTGTTTTCATGTGAAAAATTGCTGATGAAACTGAAATCATATAAATAAATTCCACTCAACTCCATACTTGACAAGTCCTCTAGTAGAGCTATAATGGACAGGTCTGCTTAAAACTTGGTCTCGAAAGTTGACGTTCTCCTATAGGAGATGTGTGCAGTGTGGTATTGACTCAGTCTTCATTCACAGTAGCTTTCACAATGGAGATTGCAGTATTGAGAAATAATGCGTAAACATGGCTATCAAGCTGAGAATAAGCGACGACAGTTGAAGTATTTCCAAGGGAAACATGGAATATAGAGCTTCCTACTAATAAAATGCGAATAAATTCAGTGTGGGTTCAGAAATAAAAATATATAATGACTTAAATTAGGAAATTATTCAGATCACGAATATCTAAACAACGTGTGTGAGAAGAAGAAAAAATACAAGAACACGATAAGATTTTCAAACGTTTGTCTTGAGGGAATGGCTTGATAATTCATATTATTTATCATTCCGTATTACTGGTATTTGTCTTGTAGCCTAACTTTGGGAACTCTATTTTTTTTGTAACTAAATTTTAACTTTCAGTTGAACTTTTAGTTTACACAACTTACCGTGTGAAATAAAATCTATCAAAAATATCACTCATATTTTAAGTATATTTTTCGTCATTGCTTGAAACTTATTAGATTTTATAAAATACGTTAATAGAAACAAAGTATAATCACAAAAATTAGGCTTTTAAAATAACTGAAGGGAATTTAAGTTTTCAACTTATAGCTGAATGTTTAGCTAATCTTAAGCCATTCAAAATAAGTATTTAAATGTATTTGAAACATAAAGCAGTGGATATTTTTTCTTTTCTTAATTTGTTCTTTAACCACAAAGCAATGCAATAGCTTTTAGACCTGCCGCTTAGCCACCAGGGGCTCCATCTTTAGATGAGTTACATACATATCATAATACATTATATACAAGAAGACTAATAAACCCAGAAAATAGAATTTATAATCTTGTTTTGAGGTAAAAGCATAATGTAATTTTATAGGACTGCCAAGCGTGTAAAACAATTCTAAGTATTAGAAGTGTTTGGAACTCAACATGTATACTAAACAATTAGATTCCTAAACCTCTATTCACACTTTAATTTATAATCTTGTTTTGAGGTAAAAGCATAATGTAATTTTATAGGACTACCAAGCGTGTAAAACAATTCTAAGTATTAGAATTGTTTGGAACTCAACATGTATACTAAACAATTAGATTCCTAAACCTCTATTCACATTTTAATTTTAGGAATATTTTTAAATTCTAAATCGGTTAGGGGTTGATTTATATGTTCAGTATGGTAAGTATACACACACATGAAACTTTCCAAAATATATGAGCACAGCAAACCTAATTCTAAATTACCATATACACGATCTTCTTTCTTGGAATCCTTGCTGTAGAATCATATGTTCTCAAATGTAACACGTTACCTGATTCTTCGAGTTTTAATGTACATAACCTAAGAAAGGTTCTGGAGTCATATGATGTTAAGTGTACTTACAGATTTTATTTGGAATTTATCGAACTACTACTAAGACAGCAGCGTGGAAAGATTGTGGGAGGATATAATGTTAGAGTTCACCAAGTTTCGTATAATCATAATAACCCTGTCATTTAGCAAATCGTGCACAGAAAAAAAAACTTCTAGCAACTTGACTTCCTTACGGATCAAAATAGAATAAGAATTTCTTCTCAGAATTATATACTAGTGGTTTGTCAAGTGGGTCATAGAGGGCGCTGACTTATATTACAAATCTAGTAGCGCCTAACAGTGTGTCTACTTGTTGGCCCAATCCTTTCAACGAAATCACACACCGACTGACAACCGACTTGACGCAAAGGTGACCGGTGTGTGTGCTCCTGGTATTCTAGTTCTGAGATAAAGAGACAAAATACACCTGTTCTGCTTGTAAAGCTATTATTCACTGCAGCTTTGAGAACGAAATTTAAAGGTAAGCAGACGTAATTTCAGTGTATCAAAAACTTCGGGAAAAAATAATTGTAAATGGTTTTAGATACATTGTTCATCGCGAATCTAAGTGTTATTTTCCTCCATGAAAAAATGATTGTTCATCAAAATCGCTAGAAATACGGGTCTTCTATGTTACTATACAGTGTACAAAAGTATTTCGTTACCTTGCGGTTACTTCGTCGATTTAAAAATGATTGATTCAAAACCAACTAAATGTTTATTGATTTTTAAAATGCGGAAACAAAGAAAAAGGATGTTAAGTCAATGATATTCGTATTGTACTTACTTGACTTGTAAGGGATACATTTGATTCAATTAAGACATTGTAGACTGCTCAAAATGTTTCAAAAATAAGTATGAACTACTGTTCTTAGTTTCTAAGTAAGCATTTTATTGACACTAAATAAAATAAACAACACTCTATAATATTCATAACTTAGTTGTATGTGTGTATGTCAAAATATTAATTAAAAACTTAATGTGAATTAAACCGAGTTAAAGCTTATTGTTTATGAATGACAACATTGTTACTAGTTACGAGTATTATAGCTCTACTGATTATTAAACCGAGTTAAAGCTTATTGTTTATCCATGACAACATTGTTACTGGTTACGAGTATTATAGCTCTACTGATTATTAAACCGAGTTAAAGCGTATTGTTTATCCATGAAACTAGTAACAATGTTGACGAGTATTATAGTTTAATAATCAGTAGAGTCGAGTTAAAGCGTATTGTTTATCTATGACAACATTGTTACTAGTTACGAGTATTATAGCTCTACTGATTATTAAACCGAGTTAAAGCTTATTGTTTATCTATGACAACATTGTTACTAGTTACAAGTATTATAGCTCTACTGATTATTAAACCGAGTTAAATCTTATTGTCTATGCATGACAACATTGTTACTAGTTACGAGTATTATAGCTCTACTGATTATTAAACCGAGTTAAATCTTATTGTTTATCTATGACAACATTGCTACTAGTTACGAGTATTATATCGCTACTGATTATTAATGCGCATCTTTACTTAAAATTCAGTTTTCAAAACTTATTAATGAAATGCTTGACATTTTTTTTGTGGAGCAAGTATTTGAAAACAACAAAAATTATTTGTTAAAATATTTGCAAATTTTAACTTTTTTGCACATGCAAGGGTAAGTTGTTTCATGACAATAAGTATTATATATTTTGAAAGCCCCCCTATTTATTTTTTCCAAATCAAGAGTTATACAAACATATATATATATATATATATCATCAATTACTTAGTTGCGCTACATATAACTTTTTATCTCTAAATGTTTTAGTTCATTGTAAAGGACATTTCCGATTTGTAAACGGTCTGGTGATTTTATTTCCCATTTCGTTCTAAAGTTTGTACCAATACATAATTTCGTTTCAATGAAACGTTCTTTCTTTAAAGGATTATTATGATTATTGAGATGTTTTGCTGATGTGTTATGTTATTTCACTTTACAACTAATATCAGCGGTATACTTCACTTTTACAACTAATATCAGTATACAGATATCTTCATTGGATTCAAACAAGTAAAATACTGAAGTTTAAAACCTACCGAGCAAATTCAGATAGAGAAACGACTGGACTGAATTTGTCTTAGCCCGAAAGATGGAGACCATCCCTAAATTATGCATTATTACCCAATAAAAGCATTTTGGGCTGAACTTCTTAAGCAGAGCTCACGCTTACTTTCAGTTAATTGAGAGGAATACATTCTAAAAGTTGTTGGACCAGTGTGTCTTCCTTTTTCGATAAATGTTCTTAATCTATTCACATCTAGATTTCTAAGTTATTAAGTTGTGAAATTACTTAAACATGCTTGACTAAGACATCAGAAACACTTTATTAAGGGTAACTGATATAATTTCGAAGGTTACATTGACAACCTTCCTATCATTTTCATCACTTGCTCTTAACAAGCGTTAGTTACAACAGCTAGGTAAATATCTATTTAAACTTGTTACTTCAGCAGGTTAGAATAAGATTATTAAAATAATGTTATAATACCAAATGTGGATAACATAATCACCTGGTGATCGAATATATCTATTGTATGAATGGCTCTTGTCTTTTGATTCAAATCTCTCTATCTATAGTAAAAACACATACATTAAAATATATCTCTTAGGGGGCCTTTATAAGTTCAGATATCAGCCATAATAACGAAGAAATACATTTTCATAAAATTGTCGATATCCTTCGGATATAACCTTGGAAAGGCTATCGCCTAAATAACGTTCCAGTTTGGAAAACAAAAAACTCTTGTATTACAAACATGGCTTTGCTCGTAATTGTCTTCCATTTGAAAAATACCTCACGACACGCGATCTGGTTTTTCATTATACGCGATAACCTCCAATTCTTAAGAAATTTCGTCATGAATTAGTTGTTTGTTTGATTAATACTTTTTGTGCTTATGAAGTCATTCATAGCGTTGTAATACTTTTTCTTCATATTAATGAAAAGGAACATTGCTTGTTTATTCAACTATGTCATAGTGCACTTACACAAACCTTATTACACTAGTTTATTATCGTTTCCTTCGTGAAAGCTAGTTTCGAGAATAGAGAATTCTTTATGTTAATTTTTCAGGTGAATTAAGAGTCCACCGCATAGAATTTTCCATTAAACCTGAACTTTTAGTATCAAAGACAATAATTATGAGCATGTGTATATATATTTCAAGTCTATAAGTGAATATTTAATAGTGAAGATAATGAACTTATTCATAATGGTCTAACAAATGTTAAAGCAATTAAACGAAGCACAAGAATTTTACGGCAATTAATTAAAATACCTTAATTAAAAGTTGGACTTTAAGTCTTCATGGTTTTAAATGTTTTTTCTTAGCTTGAATATATATATATATATGAAAAAATTTCCGAAAAGAAATGTTATTTAACTTTTGATTTTTTATTTTGAAAAGGAAAATATGATAAATGTTTTAAACGAACATTTCTCAACGAGTTATTAACCTATTTTATTTTCTTCACGATGTTTTCAACGGGTAATTGTCTCAAATCTTAAAATATGGTTTTTATTTTTCAATATAATGAAATTATGTGTAGCTACTGAATGTAATAACTTTATTGGTGTGTTTGAGAAAGTATGCTTATATTTTGTATTATTCAGTTCAATATATTTTAATAAATGTCTTATCTCTCCAAGAGCATCTTCTAATTTTCTTAAGAATGATTGTTTGTTGTCAAAAGAAAAATAATACAATAGTTCACATTTACTGGAAGTTTTACGCAATACTTTAAAGATAGTAATTATGATAACAGCAAATGTATATAAATAAACCTTGTGCAAATAAAAAATTCAAAATTTGCCTCGTTGATCGATCGTAACGTTGAAAATTTTCCTAGATATAAATTATACAAGAGTAAACTTTGTCCATTGGTATTAATAGCTACAGAAACGCCTATACAGGAAGACTTATCCAGTCATTAACGTTTATTAGACATACAGACTCTTCTTGAATCCGTTTTGTTCCGGGTTTTTCACCCATATGAAGAATTAACTTTTTAGATTAGGATTGATGGCAAAGACTTTTAAATTTGTAATAGATATTGTTGCAGCATAACACGACCTTGAAGTGCCATGAAATATGGCTCATCAACAGACAACTGAAATGTGCTATCATACATCCTAAACAATAACTCTTATAGCTTCAATGAAATGTGAAAACTGTAACGTTAATATTCTATGAAACTAAAACAAATTAATAATAAGTAAAGCAGGTAATTCCTTGAAACTATTGTTGACTATTTTAAAGAAGGAATTTCGTTAATTATAATAACGTCATTTTGGACACTTGAAATTTTATTGAAGATAAAATTAATTCAGTGTACACCTATGGCTTTATATAATAAAGAGCGCTCTTGCATAACTGTGGTATTTATACATGAGAGATTAGTATGTTCATTTTCTCTAGCTTACGGTCACTTGGCGGTACTTTCAATTACAAATCTTTTGTGTATCTGAAAGAAATAAATGTTACGATTAAAAGGAGTAAAAACGGACATACTAAACAAATATTTGGAATAAAACCTTCAGATGAATTTATTGGTATTATTACTTTCCTGGAAATAATAACTGTCTATATAAGTTAGTTTAAATGTATTCATTCAAACTTATAAAGAAAGCGCGCAACTACTTAGATAAATCTTGCAAGCCAATATGGCACGTAACTTTATTTTTGTGCACAGAATTTTGAAACCTTTGGATGTTTAATCGAAGGATGATAGGTTTGTGTATCTTGTTGCTTAAGTTATATAATACATTACCGCATTAAGTACTTTATCCCCTGGCTAACAGATCTTTATAATTCATTAGCTACATTTAAGTAATCTTTAGAAATATTGATTTAATTATGAGAAACGACACTTACAATTTCTGTATCACTTTGTTCTTCAGTAGTTATGTAAAAAATAATGAGATTTTATAGGAATTACTCTCATTTGACAAAAAAGATCGTTGGTAAATTAATTCATTATACAGTGTTGTTGTTTGTAAAGCTAGTTGTTTATTCTGACGTTCATAGCAAACAAATCGTCAGAAAAATATAATATTTGGTAGGTCAACTAATGAGATGATGGGAAAGGTGATTTCAGTATAAAAAATGATGTCACTAGGGGCGCTAATAGTCAATTTTGTTTATTTAGGACTGTATAAATTCAGCGTCAAGCATACTAGAGCTCTCCTGTCTGAAGAAATAACTCCTAACAAGTTATCTCTAAACGTTATAATTACTATTATAAAAAATTACTACATCAATGGTAATAACGCTAGTGTAGCATAAAGATCTTATCGACGTGAAATCTCCTAACAAAGGAAACGTGTAGTAATGAGGCTTATCAGTTGATGGAACAAAATTCTGAACAAAGAGCTCTATAATAAATATTGTTTGAGTTATGGACTTTAGAATAGACCATCTAACTTTATAATAGTCATGTACATTTGGGTTTCTGCTTTGTATTATAAAATTCTGAACAAAGAGCTCTATAATAAATATTGTTTGAGTTATGGACTTTAGAATAGACCATCTAACTTTATAATAGTCATGTACATTTGGGTTTCTGCTTTGTATTATAAAATTCAGTGTTATAAGCAAATTTCACAAACACATATCCAAGTTTACTAGCATTGTGTACATATTACTACTAGGAAATAAAATGAAAGTAAAAATGATAGCATTTGAACTTATTTTGAGAAATTTTCCAATTTTGGTGACTCAAATCAGCGGCAAGTCTGAGCGTTCGTAACGCTAAAAATCTTATTTCGATACCAGCAGTGGGCTGGCACAGGTAGTCCATTGTGTTGCTTTGTGTTTAACAGTAAACAAAGACCCAAACTTAGAGTTAGCTAACAAAGAAACTAATTGATGTAACTCCGCTGTAGAAAATGTACTTTGATGTATATGATTTATTTATAACAAACGGACCTGACAATTTAGGAAGAGAACTAGACTTATTTAAATAAAATACTATTCACGGAGACCATGAAAATCACGACTGTTTCATAGGACAAAATTAACTTACTAATAATAGATGTTATCGTTAAAAGTGAACTGTAGGATATCAGTTTCAGACATGTATGGAGGTTGAAACATGCAGACATGAATATGGGTCGATAATATTGATGTTACTATACACATGTAGTTTACCACGTTAAAAAAATTCTTACATGTATTCACTGCGTTTCCTTTTGGGAGCCAGTAAGACGATGGAAATTTGGCGGATTTGCACGAAATGTGATATAGATGTTCTGATCTGTACCATCAATTTTATTTTTTGTTATTTCGAAAAAGATATTACTACAGCTATCTCTGAAAGTTTTTGCTCACAACCAAAATCAAGCATTTTTGTTAGGTATGTCTGACAGCACGAAACATTGCGTTTCTTTCTTAATAAGTGGCTTACAACGCTAGAAAGCGGGTTTCGATACCCCTGGTGGGCAGAGCACAGACAGCCCTTGTGTAGCTTTGTGCATAATTACAAACAAACAAACATTCTTAATAATTAAAAATAATTCAACATGTTGTTTTTATAAAAACGTAAAAGTTTTAAAGAAAATAACATGTTATAGGATTACTCTAGCTTTAAAGAAGATTATTAACACACAAATACTTTTTTCAGAAAACTTAGATAAATACATTAATATTGTGTCTTTTATTAAGTCACAATGAATCTGTAATCAAATTGCATTACTCGCAGCTATGCAACAGATTAGAATTGTCGGAACAATTCTACATATGGAAAATGGCAATGAAGTTGTAGTCAGGAAAAACATACTTTTCACTTGGTGGAGTTCTTTTGTCTAATTTCCACGAAGTACTAAAACATGTTATTAAAAGCTTGGCGTGTCGTTGGACTGTGCCAATTCCCCTGAGATAAGCTAATTTTGGAGTATACAGCTCCTTATCAAAAAGGCTGAATTCGGGGTATAAAAGCTAACAATAATTGTTATATATCCTACTAAATTAAAATACAAAGGTAATTTGAACTATTTACTTTGAACAATTTGATGTACTTTACTGCTGGAATATTATTAAATGTAGACTGTTCGTTTTGCTGATAAGCCGATGCGACATGGATGATGATAAATTCAAATACCTGACCTACAGTGCATGAAAGAAATAACTAATATCACAATAAAGTCCATCGTGGAGCAAAATTTAGATTAAAAACTAATGTAAGAAAGTATTATGTTATTAAGCGTGAAGTTCTACTGCAGTCTTAGAACATATTTAGAATTTAATATAATTTTTGAAAATAAAGTCTTAACATACGACTTGATTAAAAATACAGAAATCAGGACCTGATATTATCTATTTGTTTTTTTTTATGATTCACTAAAATTAAATGCTTTAAGATTTCAAAATGTCAAATTAAGCGCAAGTTATATTTAATTGTTTTGCAAAAAATAAACACTATTGATAATATAGATTTAGCAAGTAACGTTTTGAGCGCATTACTTGCGATTTTTATACATTTCTTTATCATTACAAAAAAACTCATTTAACAGATCAACAAAAATCAGTATTACTAGTATTTATTGTTTTTTCCAAATTTGCAAAGGTTTCTTCCAAATCTGTCATCGGTATTCAGCATATAATTAACTAAAATCCACGGAACACAAACTTCATCAATCACGGGTTTTGGGAATTTTTTTTACAAGTTTTCAAATTACCAAGTTTTATTACTCTAGAGATTGGATTATGTTTCCCGGTGTTTTATGCTTTTTGCAACACGTATACATAATATTTAGAGCAAGGATGAAATGCATTCTTGAATTTCATACAAGGACATATTTACCGTAAGGACTCGACTGGGTAATTCAGACTAAAAATAAATCATGAATAGGATTACCACCCGCAAATGACAACAGAGATGCTCTTCAAGGTTTAAAGGGATATGGTAATGTAATAGAACGACAGGGCCTGACTTACTTTACAGACCCGTGAAAAAGCTCTGAGCCTTGTTGTTTTACATTAGCATTCAACAGAACGCTAAGCAGTAGATAAGAACCTGTCGGTGTGTTTGTGTTTTCAGGAAACTGTTGGCCCTGTTGTCACCACCGCTTAAGTTGACTTACTGATCTATAAAAAAGTGTATACCTCGGTTTCTGTGTAATATAAAGCGAAATAGCTTCCTTAGCTATGTTCCATAAGGAACTAATGACAGGAAAACATAAACATAGGTACACAAGCAAGTTTTACTGTCGACGAAGAGGGCATGAAAATAAAGGGAAGCAGAGTTAAGAGTCACCTTTAATAAGCAAACTGTTAATGGCTACCAGTTATTTTCAAGAGCTCTTTTGAGCCACATCATAGAAATATTAACCATAGGTGAAACATTATGAGGACAAGTGTTAACTTCTCGACACTTAGTTGGAAAGAAAACTCTCTAGATTAATCACTAGCACAGATAACTATACAATACGATATTATGAAAAATAGCATAATACCATTATAATAAGCAGACACAATATATATCGACAGTAAACCGATAGGCCATTTTCTTTTTAGATCTTAGCTCCACATACAAAGCACTTTCTTTCCAAAATAATTGACGTCGCTATTTTAAATCCACCTTCCCTTTCAGAACCTTGGACTAGAATCTGATATTCTCTAGGATTTTGTAGCCGACACTCCACCCAGCTCTTGAAAAAATCCAGGCATTACGCCAAACTCCAAAAGAAAATGGGATACACTGGTTGTGTTGGTTTCAAGTATACAAATTATCTCCATCTTATGTTTGTAAACCTAACTTTGTCCATATGGAACGTCTTCGTTTTTAACACACACACAAACACAAAAATATATTCCAGAAATAAGATGAAAAAGTAA